GGTCTAGGCCCGAAACATCAGCCTTTCTGTTCCTATGATGCTGCTTGGCCTGCTGTGTTCATCCAGCTCTGCACCTTGTTGTCTCGGATTCTCCAGCATCTGCAGTTCCTACTATCTCACATTCAATTCCCTACTATTTTCCAAAGAAACCTGTTTTCCATTCAATATTTCACAAAATTGAAGTGTTGTTTTTAAATTAAATTGTTGATCATTCACCGCAGATGAATGCTTTGAGGAACTTCTGCATGGAGATAGAATTGAAAAGCAAAAAAATTACGTTTCACTTGTATCTTGTTAGTCCACATACTATGTAGAGTTGTGGTTTCCGTATGATAAGGAGGATATGGGACATTGGAGAAAGCTTTAACACAACAGAGGGACAATCCAAACCTGGAAGACTGAAAAAGTTGGGCTCCTTCCTCTAGAAAAAGAGAACTGAGGGAGACCTGATGTAAGATTTAAATTTTTCGCAAGGATTTTGATAAGATGAAGAGGGATGTTTTCAGGTGCATGTGCGTGCAGGAGTAGTGGGTGGAAGAGATCACAACTATGGGTCATAAAATCCAGTAGGAAATTTGATAGAAGATTATTTACTTAAAATAGCATTGATGCATTTCAGGGGGAAGTAGACAGTACAACAGGAAGAAACAGATGGAGATAGACAATTTTTTTTATGATTAAACAAGGGTATCAGGGACTCGGGTCCATGGCAGGCACATGGAGTTAGGCCAAACATCAGCCATGATCTTATCGAATGGCAGAGCAAGCTCAAGAAGCTGAATGACCTACTCTGGTTCCCAAGTTCCCATGATATACTGACTCAATTAGATGAAGGGTAAGGAAGAGTTCATTGGAACATAAGAAAACACAGGTAGACAAGTTGGGATCAATGGCCTGCAGCTGTTCTGTAAACGTAAACGGTCTACTTACCAACCGACCCTCCAGTTGAAAGCTGGCAGAATTCAAACAGCCCATCAAATACAGGACAGTCTTCACCCACGTTAACTAAGGGAAAGAACAGGCTTTAAATAAATTTTTTACAAAGTGAAAGAAAAAGGTTAAGTTACTGCTCAGTGATAAACAGGTTGATATAGAACTAGAAAAAATACCCATTCTAAAGAGATTCCCACTGAATAGCTACTAGCTTCCTGTTATTCTCATCAGATGGCAAATAGACTAATTTCTCAAATTTTGTAAAGTTTGTTTCATGGCTATCTTTTGAACCACCACCTATTACATATAATGCTCAAAGAGAGCCTTTCTGAACATTTCCCAATGGTCTAATAGGTAGAAATGAAGGCTTAACTCACTGTAGCACTAAGTCAGGTAGACAAGACGCCCTACTGTCCAATTGTACTAAACACTCCCTCGCTCGGGAAGAAGGAAAGAGAGAGAGAAAATTGAGACTTTCCAATCCCTCAGCTAACCGATAATTCCTACTCTGTGAGGGAGAATGGGTTAGAGTTAGAGTTAGGGTTAGGGGAGGAACAGAACAGGAGTAATCAAGTATTGAAGTATTGAAACAAATCCCAATGCAATCACTTTCGGATTGTTAGCCAGGCTCAGTGTGGCACATCTGCTTTGCTACACTAGCACAAAGAGCTCTTCCCTTGCAGATGGAAATAATATGTACACATACTGCACCTCAACTCAATGAAAGGTGTCGGTCATTCAGAATCATAGAGCTATACAGCATGGAAACAGACCCTTTGATCCAACTCCTTCATGCCAACCAGATATCCTAAATTAATCTAGTCCCATTTGCCAGCATTTGACTCTTATCCCTCTAAACCTTTCATATACCCATCCAGATGCCCTTTAAGTGTCGTGATTGTACCAGCCTCCATTACTTACTCTGGCAGCTCATTCCATACAAGCTGGCTTATTTCTCAGGGCAATATCCTCACTAATCAGAGTCAACATCCCTTTGTTTAAAATTTAAACAAAGACTGGAACATAACTGTCAATCTTAAGTAATGAATGCATTTTCCTTGACAATGCCTCTGCCATAGACCACTTGCCAACCAATTAGCACTCTCCTCTCTCGGAAAGAGAAACGTTGGTGCTCCCCTTGAATTGACATTCTTGCAAATTGTCCTGATGAGTGCAAGACAAAATGTGTATTTCTCAGCAGCACTCCTGTTCTTTACTATCAAATGACTATTTAAATCCTAATCATTAGTGTTTTCAGGATGAAGAACTCTTGACATGACAAATGATCTCTTCAAAACAATGAGAATGCCATTAACCTGAAATGTTGACACTGTTTCTCTCTCCACAGACAGCTAAGAATTTCCAGCATTTGCAACATTTTGCTTTCACTCCTAAACACGTGATGCCCCCTTGTTTTCAATTCCCCCAGCCAAGAGAAATAGCTTCTTTCCATCCACTTTAATCAGTTTCCCTTGATATCTTACACACCTTGATCAAACTAACCATCCATTAAATATTCTAACTTGCAGGGAACACAACCCTAGTTTCTGTAAACTCTCTTTGCAATTTAACTCCAAGTCCATGATCATTCTTGCAAATCTATTCTTCATTCTTTACTCAGAGAGTAGTAAGGGCGTGGAATGCCCTGCTTGCAAAAATAGTAGACTCACCAACTTTAAGGGCATTTAAATGGTCATTGGATAAACATATGGATGATAATGGAATAGTTTAGGTTAGATGGGCTTCCGATTGGTTTCACAGGTCGGCGCAACATCGAGGGCCGAAGGGCCTATACTGCGCTGTAATGTTCTATGTTCTCTCAGCATGTGATGCCTAGAACTGAACACAATACTCTAACAGGGCTTTATATGTATAACACGCCACTAGCATTTCATTAACACATCCATACTTGGTGCTAAAATTTATTTGCCACATTTTGTCCATTCACATAATGTGTTATTGCCTTTAATTTTATACTTCTGTCTACACTGCTTACACAGTCAATCATCTTCATGTCATCAACAGACTTATGTACATCTGCTAATTAGAGTACCTGTGCATAATCTACACTGTTTCTGCTGATTGCATTAATTTCCACAACAGAAAGGAGGACAATTCTGTAATTTCAATTCTTCTTGTAGAATCTAACTTCTGTAGTGCCTGTTGTATGAAACATTATTCATATTACAAACAGTCACAGATCCTTTTGCCTTGGTCAAATCGACCTTCATGTCCCGTGGCCATCAGGAATAGAGTACATATTTTAACGAGAACCTGCATTATACACTAATTAACAAATCCATTGATGGAATTTGAAGGACTTCAACACATACTTGTATTATGTCCTATCACACCACTTAATTGAATGTTAATTCAATTAACCAGCAATACAATGCTTTTTTGGTGAATTAATGGAGCCCTACAGTGTTTTTATATAGATTGTTATTTGAAATGAGTGAGATTAAACCTTTTTAAATGCACAGCTGTACTTAAGTGAGAGAAAAGCCAGTATAAAAACCCAGTGGACTAAATTCTACAGTACATCCTTACGTAGGAAATAGGTAATAAAATTCCAAGTTTTGCTGACAGCACTTTAGTACTCTACCTCAATGAAGAATGCAAAAACTTGTTTTGGCATTTAATCCCTTGACTTCAATCCTTTCCCAGATCATCACCTTTTCATTCCTCTCCACTTCCCCACTGACCACCCCACTTCAACCACCACCATCACCACCATGCCACCCACCACTTCCCCTCCACTCTGCCTCTGTACTTCTGTAAAACTCATTATATCTCTAACATCTTGAAGTCTTAACACTCTGCCTACTCAACCCGAGTATTTCCATATTTTAAAATGGCAACATACATCTCTGCATCTGCTTGCTGTATTCAGACATGTTGTCTGGACGGATGGACCGCAGAAACTTGATGTAATCATCACTGTGGTACTTCGTCATTTCTTCAGCTGAAGCTTTGTGTGGACGCTTTGAAAGAACAGAAAGATCGTTAAATTTCAAACTTCTTACACGGATACCTACAGGAAAAGAGAGAACGCAGAATATCAGACATATGTTTAAAATGGAGAAATTTAGTATGTAGAGTATTGAAGGCAAAAATCATAACATACACCTTATCCTGAACCGCCCTTGAGAATACATTGATGGGTCATCTTCTGGAAACACCAGATACAGCAAACGTAGTCTCACATCACTATTAGCAAGGGAGCTCAAAGAATGTGACCCAGCCAGAATAAAGGGACAAAGGAACACATGCCTCATCAAGATCATGTGACTTAGTGGAAATCATGTCAAGACAGTGCTGTCCTTATCCTCCTATGTGACAGTGATTGTTGCCAAAGAAGATTCAAACAATTTTTTGTGCATTCAGTAGGTAACTCCTGCCTGCAGTGTGCATTAATATTTAAACCAGTAGATAGGTGATGGCATCCACACAGCTCTGTTGTAGGGATTGTATGGAACAGGGAATCATTTGTCACAGAACCTGCAGTATCTGAACTGTTCTTGTAATTATGACATTTATGTGACCTGTCAAGTTCAGTTTTTGATCAACAGTGTCACACCGAGGATTTGATATTGAGGAACGCAACAGTTGTGGTGCCACGGAATGTCAAGGGAAGGTGGTTTCACTCTTTCTTGTTATAGATGGCCATTACCCAACACTTTCACAGCTCAAATGTTACTTGCTAATCACCAGTCCAAGTTTGAACACATTCAAGATAGTAAGAACTGCCGATGCTGGAGTCAGAACTGTCAACATTCCTGCTCCTCTGATGCTGCCTGGCCTGCTGTGTTCCTCCAGCTCCACACTGTTATCTTGAACACATTCAAGTCTTGTTGCACACAGACAGCTTATGACCATAAGAAATAGCAACAGGTGTAGACTGTTTGGCCCCTCAAGCCTACCTGCCATTCAATAGGATCATGGCTGACTTGATATTCACTTTCTAGCCCTTTCCCATCACCCTCAAATCCCCTACTGATCAAGAATCTACCTCAGCCTTAAATATACACAAGGAGTCTGCCCCACAGTTCTGTGGCAAGTAGTTCCAAGACCCTCAAGCCTCTAAGAGAAGAAATTCAGCACGTCCTTAGATTAGCACCCCATAATTCTGAGACAATGCCCTCTGGTTCTAGGCTCTATGTGGGGCAACATCCTTTCAGCATTTACATTGTCAAGCCTGTTACAACCAGATATGTTTCAATGAGATCACCTCTCATTCGTCTAAATTTCAACGAGCAGAGTGCCAACCTGTTTAACCTCTCCCATAAACCAATCCCACCACACCAGGTATCATGCTAATGAACCTTCTCTGACTTGCCTCCAATCAAATATATTTTCTTAAATAAGGGTATTAAAACTTGTCAGTTCTTCGGATGTGGTCTCACCAGCACTTTAAACAGCTCCAATAAGATTTCCCTTATCGTATACTCCAAACCCCGCTATTATAAGGGCCAACATTCCATTGGCCTTCCTGAATACCTGTTGCACCTGTTAGCAAGCTTTGTGTTTCATGCACAACTAGCCCCCACGTCCTTTTGATCCCTTTGTGTTGCAGCTTTCTGCAGTTTTTCTCCATTTAAATAATACTGTTGTTTTGCTCTCCCTTCCAAGATGAACAATTTCACATTTTCCACATTACACTCCATTTGCCAATTTTTTGCCCACTTACTTAACCTACTAATCGCTTCATTGAGAGGAGTTGGGAGTGGAACCAGTTGTCTTCAGACATTTACATCTGGAGTATTCTGAAGTAATATAATGTATTACTTAATATAGTTGAACTACATGCATCTTCCATTGAAGTCTATCACCTCTACCTCACAAGCTAATTCTTTTGTCTCCCTCTGACTTCGTGCATCTGGCACCTTCTCTTTATACTTTTACATTTCTGGATGTCCATTTGTTCTCTAGTTCTCACATCACTTGTATTGGCTTCTCCTCTTCTCTCTCTTACTGAACATTAACATCTATTGCTGTAGGCCACTGCTGAGCCAATCCGATTCTAGAGTCAGGTGGTGTTGGATTCAAACCAAAACCTGGGGCTTGAGCACTCAACTTAGACTGGCATTCCAGCTCAGTAATGAGGGATTACAGCCTTGCCAAAGGTGTCATCCTTTAGAAAAGAAATTAATTTGAAATCTGATTATGAATTTGAGGTCAGATGCAAGCAATCTTTTTTTCTTTTGTTTTTTCTTGGTTTTTTTTGAGCACAGTACAGGCCCTTCGGCCCACGATGTTGAGTCGACCTATTATCCTACTAAGATCAATCTACCCTGCGTACCCCACATTTTACTTTCCTCCATGTGCCTATCCAAGAGTCGCTTAAATGTCTCTAAAGTATCTGACTCCACTACCACTGCTGGCAGCGCATTCCACACACCCACCACTCTCTATGTGAAGAACCTACCTCTGACATCTTCCCGATACCTTCCTTCAATAACCTTAAAATTATGCCCCCTCGTAATAGTCATTTCTGCCGTGGGAAAAAGTCTCTGACTATCCACTCTATCTATGTCTTGCATCATCTTGCATACCTCTATCAAGTCACCTCTCATCCTTCTTCGCTCCTATGAAAAAAGCCCTAGCTCCCTCAACCTTTCCTCATAAGGCCAGCCCTCCAGTCCAGCAGCATCCTAGTAAATCTCCTCTGCATCCTCTCCAAAGCTTCCACATATTTTCTATAATGGGGTGACCAGAACTGAACACAATATTCCAAGTGTGGCCTAAACAGAGTTTTATAGAGCTGCAGCATAACCTCATGGCTCTTAAACTCAATTCCCCTGACAATGAAAGCCAACACACCATACGCCTTCTTTACAACCCTATCAACTTGGGTCGCAACTTTGAGGGATCTATGGACGTGGACCCCGGGATCCCTCTGTTTCTCCACACTGCCGAGAATCCTGCCATTAAGCCTGTATTCTGCATTCAAATTCAACCTTCCAAAATGAATCACTTGACACTTTTCTGGGTTGAATTCCATCAGTCGCTTCTTTGACCAGCTCTGCATCCTGTCAATGCCCCATTGTAACCTACAACAGCCCTCCACACTGTCCACAACTCCACCAACTTTCATGTCATCGGCAAACTTACTAACCCACCCTTCCACAGAAAGATCACAAACAGCAGACGTCCCAGAACAGATCCCTGCGGCACACCACTGGCCACCCAGCTCCAGGCTGAATACTTTCCCTCTACTACCACCCTCTGTCTTCTACTGGACAGCCAGTTTTGTATCCAGACAGCCACATTTCCCTGAATCCCATATATCCTTCCTTTCTGAATGAGCCCACCATGTGGAACCTTATCGAATGCCTTGCTAAAATCCATATACACCACATCCACTGCTCTACCTTTATCGATGTGTTTTGTCACATCCTCAAAGAATTCAATAAGGCTTGAGGCATGACCTGCCCCTCACAAAGCCATGCTGACTATTTCTAATCAAACTGTGCTTTTCCAAATAATCATCAATACTATCTCTCAGAATCTCCACACAGTCACTACTCAAGAAATGAGGGATAACATTTAAATCTTCAAAAACCATCAATATAGGTGAGTTGGCCATTCACATCATTGCTTTTTTAAGGACCCTGCTTTGCAAACTGACTGCCCTGCTTGTCTACAAAATAACTGATTACATTTCTAAAGAATGCATTAACATTATGAAAGGGATATTATAAATGTAAATCCTGGTTTTTTCCTGTATTTCTAATACTCTGCTTTTCTTCTCTTTTACTTTCATCTGTTGTGGAAATCTCAATGCAAATCATCACTTCACACCTGATTGTCACAAAAATTATCTAGCCTTATGGTTATATAGCAAGAATTGTCATGTGGCACAGAGGTATTATTCCTACCTCAGGGTCAGAAGATCTGGGTACAAGTCTTTCCTCAGGATCTGATGGTCAAAGAGGTACTTCATAACACATCCGAACAGGTGGATTTAAAATATTAAAGTTACATCTTGTAACTGTTACATACAGTATTTGTGGATCTATGGTTGTGTGCAGACTGATAAGACCATTGCTGCCTGGATGAAAACAAGTTCAGGGTTTGGGGAAAATTTGATCGAATTAGACACTATAAGGTTAAGCAGTACATCAGAAAACAATCCAAAATAAGACTGCCAGAAGTATGTGAACTATACACTGATGACAAACCAAAAGAACCAGAAGGGACTAAAGAAACATTGATTTCCCGAATGCACTGCTTGAAAGGATGACAGAAAAAGATTCAATGCTAACTTTTTCAAGATAACCAGATCAAACTTGAATGGGAAAATATGGTACGACCTGGGAAACAGCCGACAAACTGGGTAGCTTTTATAAAGAGCCAGGACAAGTATGAAGGGACAACAGCGTCATTTGATTATTCATAACTTACCCGAGCAGTAGAAAAAGACCAACCAAAATAGAGAGGAGTAGGCAAGCTGATGTTTCGGGTCCAGACCCTTCTTCCGAAATGGGGGAAGGGAAGGGGATTGTAAAATAAATAGGGAGAAAGGGGGAGGCGGACAGAAGATGGATAAAGGAGAAGATAGGTGGAGAGGAAACAGACAGGTCAAGGAGGCAGGGTTGGAGCCAGTAAAGGTGAGTGTAGATGGGGAGTTAGGGAGGGGATAGGTCGGTCCAGGGAGGACGGACAGGTCAAGGGGGCGGGATGAGGCTAGTAGGTAGGAAATGGGGGTGGAGCTTGAGGTGGGAAGAGTGGATAGGTGGGAGGACAGGTTAGGGAGGCAGGTATGAGCTGGGCTGGTTTTGGGATGCGGTCGGGGGAGGGGAGATTTTGAAGCTTGTGAAGTCCACATTGATACCATTGCGCTGCAGGGTTCCCAAGCGAAATATGAGATACTGCTCCTGCAACCTTCGGGTGGCATCGTTGTGGCACTGCAGGAGGCCCAGGATGGACATGTCGCCCAAGGAGTGGGAAGGAGAATTGAAATGGTTCGCGACTGGGAGGTGCAGTTGTTTGGTGCAAACCAAGCGTAGGTGTTCCACAAAACTTTACCTTTACTGGCTCCAACCCTGCCTCCTTGACCTGTCTGTCTCCTCTCCACCTATCTTCTCCTTTATCCATCTTCTATCTGCCTCCCCCTTTCTCCGTATTTATTTCAGAGTCCCCGTCCCCCCCATTTCTGAAGAAGGGTCTAAACCCGAAACGTCAGCTTTCCTACTCCTCTGATGCTGCTTGGCCTTCTGTGTTCATCCAGCTCTACACATTGTTGTCTCAGATTCTCCAGCATCGGCAGTTCCTACTATCTCTCCCCAACCAAAATAGATCCTGCTTGGTAGGACAAACATTGCTAGTTTATTGACAGCCTAACTAACTTTTGAAATACTCACCACACAAGACAAGATCATAAATTTATTTACTTTTTGTAGGAATGAAGTTGCTAAGAATGAATACAGCTTTCTAAATAGCACAGAGGCAAACTATTTTGACAGCATGGAACAGGACAACAGAGAAAGCTAGATTAGTGAGACTTCTACGGGCACTGTGTAGACATGTTTCCACAAAGAAAAAGGATAGTACTGTTAAATCTGGAGCCCCTTGGTTATCCTGAAGTACTCAGGGTAATATACAGCAGAAAAAGACAGCTTATGACAATCTTCTAAACAGTAATACTCGAGGAAGCTTAAAGGAATAAAGAAATTTCAGGAATTGAGTGAAAAAGGAAATTAGGAAAATAAAGAAAGGGTATGCAAAAATGATGGCTGGCAAAATTAAGGAAAATCTAAAGATTTCAATAGAATAAGAAGAAGATGGCAAAGTAAAGAGTTGAACCTATCAGAGATATACATGGCAACCTGTGTATGGATGCAGACGATGTGGGCAGGATTCTTAATGAGTCCTTTTTGGATGAGGCACTGCAAATATACACTAAACACTATCTTTAATTATAGGAGTTCATCAAGCACTTGGCATTTATGTCCTTCATTGCATTTTACTCCAATATAACTATATTCCCACGAGAACCTATCAAAGGCTGCAATGCAATTCACAGGGGCATAATGACCCTAGTTCCCTAAATTACAATAAGTTTTATCTTTGTATTGGACAGGAGGAAAAAGAAAGGATGAATTGCACAAACAAGTTAACCCACTAACTGTTCCATGGTACTTACATAGATTTCCATTTTTCTGTACAAGCCATAGTTTAGAAGCAGGTTATGCGTCATTCGAATTCTGTGGGGTTTCATTGGATGGCCCTGTCCATAGTAGTAATTCCCAACATCACCTGCATTTAACAAATGAAAAGATAATAAAAAGCTTCCCGCACACTGGTATACAACAGACAGTATCTGAAGACCTGAAATACAACTAGTACACAATAACCAAACTGATTACTGATCAGCAAGATGCAAGAGGGTTATTATAATTTATCCATTGTCTTTGGGATATTATTCAGTTTACACCCAAAAGACAATACAACCTATACTGTAATGAACACTCATGCTGTTGATGAGCTGTTATGGGTTAATTAACATTGCCCTTGAATCATTTCCAAGGAAATGTAAAACGATATAATCTCTCCAGTTCATGCATCTGTAAGCCACGATTAGGTGGCTGGTCATCTTAGGAGCCTGGGGACAACAGCAAAACTGATTTTCTATCAGTCGAGTACAAAAAGATGTATCCTAGTTAAGAGTTGATAAACTGAGTTAATGACAAACAAATAGAAATAAGTTTTGATGCAGAATTCACCTTCTCCATCCATTCCCCTTTTGCCACAAATGCACCTCAGTTTACTGATGGAATTCAAAAGATTAGGCATAACTATACACGTCAAAAAATACCGATACTTCACAAATTTATTAAGAGTGTTTGGAGGATGTAATTATTAGGCTAGATAAAGGGCAACTAGTATATGTTGGATACTTCGGTTTCCAAAACACATTAAGGGATTAATATAGAGTTGGTAATACATCAGCAGGAAATTGGTTCCAAGACAGGAGACAGTTTGCAGATTGTAACTAGTAGAACACTGCAAGGATCAATTTCAATTGAAGCCTATTATCCATAATTTATATCAAGGGCGGACAAAGATATGGAGAGAAACAAACATGTTTACTAATGATATAAGCTAAGTTGGGAACGTAAGCTTTGAGAACACAAAGAAGTGGCAAGGAAATATATCCATGTGTTTATGGGCAACAGGATGACAATCAGAGTAGAAGGTGGAGAAATGAGATTATTCACTCCAGTCCTAGGTAACTTCCATGACATACAAGTGCAAGGCAATGATCATTTTCAACTGTTTTGTGAAGGGTAGGTCGTGCCCCACAAACCTTATTGAGTTCTTTGAGAAGGTGACCAAACAGGTGGATGAGGGTAAAGCGGTTGATGTGGTGTATATGGATTTCAGTAAAGCGTTCGATAAGGTTCCCCATGGTAGGCTATTGCAGAAAATATGGAGGCATGGGATTGAGGGTGATTTAGCGGTTTGGATCAGAAATTGGCTAGCTGTAAGAAGACAGACAGTGGTGGTTGATGGGAAATGTTCATCCTGGAGTTCAGTTACTAGTGGTGTACCTCAAGGATCTGTTTTGGGGCCACTGCTGTTTGTCATTTTTATAAATGACCTGGATGAGGGCGTAGAAGGATGGGTTAGTAAATTTGCGGATGACACCAAAGTCGGTGAAGATGTGGATAGTGCGGAAGGATGTTGCAGTTTACAGAGGTACATAGATAAGCTGCAGAGCTGGGCTGAGAGGTGGCAAATGGAGTTTAATGCAGAAAAGTGTGAGGTGATTCACTTTGGAAGGAGTAACAGGAATACAGAGTACTGGGCTAATGGTAAGATTCTTGGTAGTGTGGATGAGCAGAGAGAGCTCGGTGTCCATGTGCATAGATCACTGAAAGTTGCCACCCAGGTTGATAGCGTTGTGAAGAAGGCGTACGGTGTGTTAGGTTTTATTGGTAGAGGGATTGAGTTTCAGAGCCATGAGGTCATGTTGCAGCTGTACAAAACTCTGGTGCGGCCGCACTTGCAGTATTGCGTACAGTTCTGGTCACCGCATTATAGGAAGGATGTGGAAGCATTGGAAAGGGTGCAGAGGAGATTTACCAGGATGTTGCCTGGTATGGAGGGAAGGTCTTATGAGGAAAGGCTGAGGGACTTGAGGCTGTTTTCGTTAGAGAGAAGAAGGTTAAGAGGTGACTTAATAGAGACATACAAGACGATCAGAGGATTAGATAGGGTGGACAGTGGGAGCCTTTTTCCTCGGATGGTGGTGGCTAGCACGAGGGAACATAGCTTTAAATTGAGGGGTGATAGATATAGGACAGATGTCAGAGGTAGGTTCTTTACTTAGAGTAATAAGGGCATGGAATGCCCTGCCTGCAAAAGTAGTAGACTCGCCAACTTTAAGGGCATTTAAATGGTCATTGGATAAACATATGGATGATAATGGAATAGTTTAGGTTAGATGGGCTTCAGATTGGTTTCACAGGTCGGCGCAACATCGAGGGCCGAAGGGCCTGTACTGCGCTGTAATGTTCTATGTTCTATGTTCAACAAGGGACAATCCAACCATCGCCCCATAACATTCAATGGCATTACCATCACTCAATCTCCCACTGTCAATATCCCAGTTATCAATAACAGACCCTTGATGACACCACTCCTGAAGAACTTCAACCTTAACTTCCATATCTACAACTTGAATTTGAGACCAATGTATTCACTGGTGACAGACACAATGTGGGTACAGAAATCGGGGAGGAGGTCCATGACCTTGCAGGCTTAACAGCAGATAATCTCCAGGGCAGGATGAAATGTACCCCAGGTTGTTTAGTGAGGCAAGAATGGATAAAGCAGTGGTGCTTGCAACAATTTTCAATTCCTCTCTAGCCACAGAAGTGCCATAGCACAGCCATCATGTACCATTTTCAAGAAAAGAGCAAGGGATAAACCAGGAAAACACAGTTCAGTCAGCAGTTTACATCGGTTGTAGGAAAACTATTACATGCAATTCTGAGAGACAGGAATAATCTATATTTGGAGATTCAGGGATTAATTGAGAATAGTCAGAATGGCTTTGTTAAGTGGACGTCATGTCTCACTAATTTGATTCAATTTTTGAAGAGGTAACCAGGTATGTAGATGAGGGCAATGCTTTTGATGTAGTCTACTTGGACTTCAATAAGGCTTTTGATAAGGTCCCGCATGGGAGACTGATAGCGAAGGTGACAGCTCAGGGCATCCAAGGAAATTAAGCTAAATGGATCCCCAACTGGCTGAGTGGCAGGAAGCTGAGGGTGATGGTCACGGGGTGTTTTTCCGACTGAACGTCTATGTCCAGCAGGATCCCATAGGGGTCGGTGTTGGGACCCATGCCTTTCATGGTTCTTATAAATGCTTTACAGGTGATCGTAGAAGGGTTGATCAGTGAAGACCAAGGATTAGAGGGACTTCAGTGTGCATATTGGACTAGTTCCTTAAGGTATTAGGATAGATGGATAAAGCAATTAAGGTTGATTATGGGATACTTGCCTTTATTAGCGGAGGCATAGAGTTTAAAAGCAGGGAGGTTATGGTAGAACTGTATAAAATGTTCATTATGCCAGTTAGAGAAACCACACTATAGGAGGAATGTGATTTCACGAGAGGGTGCACAGGAGATTGCCTCGGCTGGAGAGTTATTAAAACAGATCGGACAGTTGTTTTCTTGGAGCAAAGGAAACTGAGGGGTGGGCTTGTTTGAGATGCAAAAAATTATGAGGGGTATGAGACAGTAGACAGGAAACAACTCTTCCCCTTGATGGAGGGATCAATGACCAGGGCCACTGATTTGGGTTAAGGGGCAGAAGGTTTAGAGATGTGAAGAAAAATCTTCTTTTTGCTTAGAGCGTGGTGGGAATCTGGAACTCACTGCCTGTAAAAGGTGGGAGAAGCAGAAACCAGAAGTAGTGATCAGATGTGCACTTGTGAATGCCAAGGCGTACAGACTATGGGCCAAGTGCTGGAAAATGGAATTAGAAAAGTCAGGAGGTTGTTTTTGACCCGCTTGGACTTGATGGGCCTTTTTCTGTGCTGCAGATGTCTATGATTAATATTTTAGGTAAAAATTACTATCTTTTACAGGAGTCCTTTTTCAAGGGCTTACATGTGTATTTGACTGAAACCCATTCAGTACTCTGTATATAGTTTGGCTACTTTGCAGCATCCACTGGTTGTCCAGCTGTCCTCTGCCAGTCGCTACGACATTGTGACAGGTGTACCCTTAGCAAAGGCCTGTCTGTGGTCAGATAGGTTTAGCTGAGCTCCTGAGATGTGGGATGAGATTGGCAGAAGGCAAACTGACTGCAGGGCATTTCTCAACAGTGTCTCCTATTTGCTACCTTCCAATAGCGAGAGAGAGAAGGGGCTCTGGGGGAATGAACAGACTGACTAAAATTCTGTGGAATTTTAGGGGAATGAGATGAGATCGGAGGAAAACATGAAAATTTAAAGGAGACTGAAGGATCAGAACCAAGAGTTGTTTCGCTTAGCTGAAAAGTATAGTACATAGGTGTGCAGTCTCAGGATGAAGGGGCACTCATTTAGGCCAAAGATGAGCAGAAACTACTGTACTCAAAGGGCTGAGTGTCTTTGGCACTGTATTTCTGAAGGTCGTGAATGCTCCATTGCTGAGTTTAAAACTTGAGATTGACAGCTTATGCTGGCTACTCAGAGAATCGATGGCTGCAGGGAGAAACGAGGAGAGTAGAACTGAGGCGGATGATCAGCCATGATTGTATGACCTGTTCATGCGCCCCTTCCTGGGGGGAGGGGGGGGGG